TGGCTCTCTTTCTTAAACCCTCTGCCCAATCAATACCATCGTTGAATATCTTTTTTGAGAAACAAGTGATTTTGACTTCCCTTGGCACTATAACCCCTTCTGGGCCTTAGTTACCTTTAGTACATGATTGTGGGAGTCTCTGCTGAAGATAGTATTTTAAAAGTGGTGCCATCTGGGAGTAGCAGTTTGTGAAGTAGATACTTCCCTAGATTCGAAGAGCCTTTTCGAAGTAATTCAAAGTAACAAATGGATAGATACTATCTTTCATACTAAATTTTCAAAATGCACCATGTAATTAGTCTGATATCTTACATTTTGTCCCATAATACAACTGGAGATGGGCATTTTTTCATTATTATTTTGAAATATTTGTGTAACTGGGCCCAACCCTTTTGAAGTCATAGACCATTTTAAGAATATGTTGAAACTGATGAGCTTTCCAGAAAAAAAGAAATGTTCATACATATTAAATTGTATAACACAGTTCTCAAGGAAAACGAGATTCTGTGCCTTCTCCTCCACCCCAGGGAACACTTGGCAAAGTCTAGAGATATATTTAATTACCATGACCAATAGGTGTTACTAAAACTTAGTAGGTAGCGGTCAGGAATGCCGCTAAACACCTTACAATATTCGAAAGTAAAAGAAAGGGCAAGCACAAGCGTGCACGTAATTATCCAGGCCAAAATGTCAGTGCTACCAAGGTTGAATAAACCTGTTTCAATGAAATGGCAGATGGTTGCCTGTTCCCAGGTAGACCATCCGTGATCCGAATCCCTGATTCAAGTTATTTTCATTCATCTTGTACAAATCAACAGCTGAAGAGCATAATAATGATCAGTTTTACTTCCAGTAATTACAGAGCCTTCAGATCTATATTATGTGAATGTAGGAGCTGTTACTGTGTAAATAGAAAATAATGATAGATTCCTGGTCCCCCTTCCATCCAGCCCACCAGGGAAATTGGTCTAGGTTGCCTTCAAAAACTTTGAGGAGGTCTAAGCATTGAGATGGATGACTGGAATTAAGTCCTTGCTATGAGTTGGTCACTACACCACATTTTCTTAATTACTTGATCTAATTTTGAAAAAAAATCTATGAAGAAGGTGTGATTGCTATTTTACAGAATTTTTAAATAAATGGCCTGAGCCCTTATTGCTAAGAAGTGGATTTCTAAAAATTTCATTATCTGAATTCTATTAAATAGATCAAATGGGAGAGTTTCTGCCTAAAATGAAAAAGAAGATAAAGAGGCCCAATTTTTAAAAATTATCGGGATCAATTATTTGTGAATAATGGAAGAATGCATACTGTGTTATATATATATATATGGACATATTTCTAACTTAGATAAGTTTGGAACATTGGTGACCTTTCTGAGCCGGTTATTTCACTTATTTTTTCTTTTAAAAAAGGTTAAAATAGATTTTTATTGTAATCTTCTAGCCCATGACTTCCAGCATCATGATTACATGGGTACTCATATTTAAGGGCTTAGGGGTCAGTGAGTCTTGTTTAAGGACTTAATTTTACAGATGAGAAAGCAAAGCCTTAGCATCCTTGCATTGTGTTCTCCAAAGATAAACCTAGGATCCATGTACCCTGATTTCCCTTTTCCTTCCACTGCGTAATTATCATCCCAAACTGTAAAGTCTTCCGAATTAGTCTTTGGGTTCTTACATGCATACTTTATAAGCAAGATATATTATAATATCTCTAAAACCCTTGCATTAAATTTGCACCTTAAAAAAATCTTTAAAGTACTTCCTAGCCAGAAGTTCCCACATAGCAGATGCTACTTCTACCTCCTATTCTAGGGCTGAGTATCTAGTATGTCTGGATAGTTGTCCCATTGAGTCATAGATGAGATCATGAATGTAAAAAGTATATGGAGTATGCAAAGTATCTATGACAACACTTTCAGTTCACTACCTAATATTAATTCCCAATCCCCTCTAGAATCCTAGAAAAATTTCTATCCTCCTTTAAAGTCAATGGTGCACACATCACCCTATTTTAGCCAATTAGACTGCTGCGAAGCCCAGTCTTTGGGAAAGATTACATTCTCTGATAAAATGAGAAAATAGTGCTGAAACCATGGTGGCTGCCTTTAGACACATTCTTGAAAGATGAGATGTTTGGAGCAATGAAGCCTTCTTGTAATCATGAGAGGAATCATAGAGATATAATCCCAGCACTCTCACATTATGAGGCTACTTACCTCCTTTTGAAATTTTTAAAAGTAAATTATAAATTGCTGCCATGGTTTAAGTCACTGTTACTTGAATTTTCTTCTTGTAGTAGTTGGAAGCATTCTTAATTAATAATGCATTGTGCAAATAAGACATACAGTCGATGACAGGAAACATACATTAATCAGTGTTGCATCCTAATGCTTGACAATAAAAGATAAATGCTCAATAATTAAACATTAACTGAGGGGATTAATAAACAAGTCTAATTTTTGTGATTATTATCTTTGTTCTAGTGCAGCCAGCCCACAAAAATGGGTGTTTAAGTTCCAAACAAATGGACTGTGCTTTGTAAAATTAGGGTTGGAGTGTGAGAGTGAAATAGAATCCATAGAATCCATCACTGCTGACTGTTGGGGAAAGGTTGGGAAGGGGTTTCTATTCACATGTGTGAAATAAAGTGATTCGATTGATAGTTTCCACACCCAATCTCCTTCCTCCATATCTTCCTCTCTAATACAAGCAGTGCATGTTGAAAATCTCTATTTCCCAGCCTCCTTAGAAGTTCAAGAGGTTTTGTGACAGTTCTAGCCAATGAGAAGGAAGTGAATAGAAACACCTTGGAGCACAGAATCCATCTTTAAACATTAGGTGGCATGCCCAAGGGCAAAAACCAACACACTAAGAAAAATGGAATAAAACAGTCAAAATTCTTTGTAGACATCTCTCGGGGGACACCAATCACACTTAGCTGTTTTAGTCACTTTAGCAATAAATGCATTCCTGCTGTGCTATTGACACAGGGTATTTTCTTGCAGTCCAGAGACCAGCACCATAGAAAGTGCTTAGACAAAAAACAGAGAGAACACCAGTGTGTGTAGAGAAATCCTGTCTCCAGGTAATGGTGACTGCGGAGGGTAGTCATTGTCTATGGCATATGAGAGAAGATGGGTTCTCCTTAACATTGAGGGAAAAAAAAACAGGAATAGTCATAAAAGTAGTTTATAAAAGTTCAAAATGATAAGAAATTTTCAGCATTATAAAATGGCCTGATATGAAAAGGTTTATGTTGAATACTGACTACGAAGAGATAGATCCAGCAAGGTTCATAGTGCAAAAAGAACTAGGCTAGCTGATAGAAAAAGATGACTAAATTGGGCCAGGGAAGAGAGATCATCCTTAACTGCTCTTGGCTGTTGAGTTCATTAGTTATTTTGCAGAATGTTTTATTCACTCTTTAACAGATGCTGAGAGATACCCATAAGAAATGTACCAATAGCTGAAAAACTGTAATCACAGTTTTCAGTATGGAAGCAGTGAACAGCATTTAAAATCAACCTCTGGTTTGAGATGTTGGTAACTTCCTCCTTTTGACTATTTATTCTCTTTTTTTATTCTTAAACTAACTCTTCCCCTCATGAATCTCTTCTTAAGACAAATTTGAATGGGTACTGCTATGGGTTATGTCTAACTGCTATGGGTATTTTTTAAAAAGATCTATTTATTTACACATAAAAAACTAGGGTGCAGGCCAGAGGTGCAGGGGCAGTGAGAGGATTCACCAGAGACAGAATGGGGAGAAGAACAGGCAGATTGAGAAATATACTGCTGAGGGGAGCAGCAGATGGGACAGGCCTCTGATGAGCCATGTGGGTCAATCCCCTGCCGGAGATTGAACTGCAGCTATATTCATGGTGCTGTGCTTTAACCCACTGCGCCTCTGGAGAGAACCCACTGCTATGGGTATTTTAGTGCCTTCTGTTCATCTTATACAGTGGGAGAAAAATCTTGTTGGGCAAGTAAACTGTCAGATTTCTGGTATCCAATTCAAGCAATCACTGAGCAGAATAGTGTATTGTTTTTAACATTCTCATTCTCCCATTTTGATACATATATTTACTATAGCTATCCCAACAGTCTATTGAAGTATAGTCACCTATTTCATTTCTTATTAACTTTTTCCATGTGTTTGATAG